GGACGAGCCGCGCGCGTCTCGGGCTGCAGGGACGGCGGGGACAACCTGGCCAGCTGATGCACAAGCGCGTGCCCAGCTCTTGCCTGCAGCAGCAGAGCCTTCCTTCAGTTCTCCCGAGCACCTCCTGGGTTTCCTGTGGCTCCCAACACTACAAAGACTTTAATAAACAGTTAATTTCTGGGAAGATGGGCCATGCTTGGCCTCTAGGGTTTCACTGTTCTGCAAGCAAGTGCTAAAAATATCAGCCTTGTGGCATATGCATGAGTCTGCCAAAACACACCATTTGAGGTTTCTTCTTTTAGTGAGGCATTAGCAATGTAGCTCCTCTGTTTAAAAAGCAGGAAATTTAGAGCTCTTGGAAGACTGGAAAAGCATTGCAAGTACAGATGCTCTTGCATGCACAGCAACTGAGACTACGTTTGAGGAGCTCATTACGGGATTTTTTTTTTTTTTTTTTTTTTGCCTGTACATATAACGTGCAAGTTGGCCAAATGAAGAGTAAGGCTGTTGCTGAGTGAGGACTATTTCCAGCCCAGTCAGTCATTATACAACTTAAAATGCTTTTCAGTTACCTCATTTTCGTGTACACACTTTCTTTTCACTGCTTTTAATTGCTTTAGTAGTATGAATCTTGCCAAAATTAGTACAATGTCTTGTGGACATAGTTAGGCAGTTCTAGAGATATCATATACCACTAAAACAGGATATAACTATAAGGCTACTGTAATAATACCAGTATCAAATCTAAGACATGACTATTAAACTCTAATGCAAACATGCTGTATATACAAGGCTTGTGTTAAGAGCTTCTAGCCCTGGCCTAGGCTAGAAAAAAATGTGGTTATTTTCAAGCTGAATAACACCTAATAGCTAACTCTTAAATGCCACATATTTAATCCTCTTCAGTAGGTATTGTCATCAAAATAGTCTCTGACAATGCTGATCTGTACTAAGTTCTTGGTGGAGGCTGACTTTCTGTAAAAAGCCTCTTCCTGATCCAGAAAAGCCCTGAAGTATTGACATGGAGAGAACTATACAGGGTCCACATCACAAAAAGGTGAGTAAAATTCACACATGCTTTTGCAGTTTACATGCAACATTAGCTATTTACTTTCAGGAATGCAACATGTGGTAAGAAACTATTTATCCAAGCACTTGGCATTGTAACGCCTGGTCTAACCCTCCTGAGGGAATGAGCCATTTAATTCTTCAGCGAAGCTAAGAGATTGTCTCGATCCCCCCCCCAATTTCTAGATTCAGTAATTTAAAGCCATTTCCTCAGGGTCAAAACACTACAATTCTTGGGGAGGTCTCTTCCTTTTAGGTATTTATGACGTTCAGTCTCCAGCCACTTAGCTGTCAGGTATTTCACACAGCTCTTTGGGATGTTTGTAACAAACACGATGTCTCCTTCATACACCTGAAGGAAAGCTGTTCTTGTTCAACTTCAATTTTTTCTGGATGCAGCCAGACACTGGGAAAATCTGCTCTTTAAAAGGTGAATGTTTTTATGAAATTGAGTCTTCAAATAATGCTTTATAACAGAAATTAATTCGAGATTTAAGATTGCTGCTGCCAGTCCCATTACTAGGAGCCCTAATATTGTATCCACTGGTATTTGTTACCGAACTTTCAGTGGTTGCACTGTTGAAAATTTAACTATGCTATTAACTATATTGTCACATAACGCTTATTACTACTGCATCATATTCTTTTCAAGACTTGGCAAAATTTTGTCAAAAGGTTAGGCCGCATCCAGAACACTTAATACATTGTTTGTGAGTTCTGATATCCAAAAGACAGTATCTGTTCTCTGTGCACATATGCATTTAGTTTCCTGGATGACTAACAGCTAGCTGAGTCACAATCTTAAAAAGTTGTTTTTCATACTATCCAAGTAGTTCTGACAGGCTTATCCTTCACAAAGCTCTAAATAAAGAAATCGGTAAATCATAGTTGTGAATGACTACAAGATATTCTCGCTGTGCTAAGAAAAGGTTACCTCAAATTCAAGAGGGAGGTTACAGCTTTTAGAGGGTGGTTACAGCTTTTAGAGGGTTTATTAGTACAGATGTTTGCAAGTATTTGGAAGGTTCAGAGGGGAAGAAAATAAGAGCATCCTGCTTGGGGGAGGAAGGTAAAAATGAACGGCGCATTTGTTGCCCTATCAGGGGATGAGCCATAAGTGAAAAAAATCACTAGCTTCAAAAAGTCAAGCCCCAGACAACTGCAAAAACTTGTGACAACTGCGAGCGCACTCCTTATGCCAAATCCATTGACCCAGGTAGGATCTCCAGACGTAGAACAAGCATTTACCTGGGCAATGTTTTTGCCTGTGTGCAGCCGCGGGCTGTTCAGGGCTCTGTAGGCATGGCATACATGACACTGTCCTGCTTTAAGGTCACCCCTGGCTGCAGGGCAAACGGCCATGCAGAAAGGGGATTCAGCAGGCTTCGTCCTCCCTGAAGGCTGCCTTCAGGGGATCCAGGTATGGTGCTTGCTCTCTCGCTTAAGATTTCGCAAGCTCTGCAAGTCATTTAAGACAATTTTGGGAAAAGTTGTGCGGCTCCCCCATTTCACTGAGACCTCAGTAATAGCAATTACATGATTTATAGGGTCCAGAGAGCTCACTGGATTGTTTTTTAGTATTATTATTATTTAAACTTACATGATGGTCCAGCTGCAAGACTAGACCTTTAATAGTTTTGAAAAAAATGGCTCTGGCCCATGATACAATTTAGACTTGGGCGCTACAGTTCATATAGCAGCATCCATGGCTGTAGTCTGTGGGTGAACTGTTTGCCCCAATACTACATAACAATCTTTTTCTTTTTTTTCTGTTATTTCAGCAACAAGCATGTGTTGCTATAATTGGATGTGGCAAAAAGTCTATATCAAATGCATGGTTGCAAACACTTTTTTCTGGACAGGGTTTTCAGAAGTGGTCCATTTTGCACAGACAGCTAGATAATGTGATTGACAGTGGTGGGGAGATAGGAAATATGACTGCACAGCAACCTGCATATAAGAACTTCTACTGTACCGAAGTCCTTAATCGGAAACATACCTATGGTTCAAGCCCTTCATCTGCTAAATCGCAAGTGAAGTTACTTTGTCGCTCTGGAAGTGACAAGGAAAAAGTGCAGCAGTCTCAATGTTTTTACCCTCTAGACGCTGGCTCGTGATACCGAATACATTCATGAAGCGACGACGCTTGGAAAATTACCATTGCATCAAGTTAAAACATTGCCTCTTATGCAGCAGTACTCACGAAGTACATAAACGTAAAGTCTAACAGCTTCAGACTGGAAAGTAAATCACTGACACTGGAGGAACTCTGCATAGCACCAAGCGCCTGTGCACCTGCGTTTCATGTTTTGGTGCCAGGTTAGGGTTGGCAGAGGGCTTGTAAGACGCTAGTGTATGTGACTCATTGTTCTGTGCTAAGATCAGCTCTTGGAACGAGCTCAGGAATTTGATTCCTGAGGCTGACTGGAGAGCTTCATCCTCTCAGCTGGCATCAGATGGAGATCTGCATCTGTTCAGTGCCTACGTATAACATAAGCTGAAGTCAGCACTGTGATTATGCCCGTTCATTTTGAGAAGTTTGGTTTTTTTTTTTTTTTGCATCCAAGGCTTTGCTGCAGTCTGTTAATAAAATGATTTAACTCTTTTCCAGTGGTGGGGAAAATGATGACGACTCTGACCAGAACTGGAAACCTCCAGAAAATGACCTGATCCAGAAGTTAATAGCACAGATTGAATATTACTTCTCAGATGAGAACCTTGAGAAAGATGCCTTCCTCCTAAAGCATGTGAGAAGAAATAAGATGGGCTATGTCAGTGTTAAGCTTCTCACTTCTTTTAAGAATGTAAGTTAGCTTTTTAAAACTTGTAGTGCCTTGTATAAGCCTAGTTCGTCTAAAACATTTAGAAGGCATGAAAAGAACTTATTTTATATGGTCAGTTTTACAGTCTTCCTCTTTATCTGCCTGAGTTGATGCAGTTTTGATGTGAAGGTTAGTTTTGTTAGAACTTTAAAACTCTTTCATGATTGTTTAAGGAAATAACAGGCTTTAATGTGATTACATCTTTAAATTATTCTGGGAGGCAGTCTTTTTTTTTTTTCCTCTGAGAAGGGATGGTGAATTTGATATCCCTTGCAAAGGTACAGAGATCCAAAAATTAAGAGTAGTAGAAAGTATCTGGCAACAGAAGTCACTTAAGTTAAAGTCTGTGTGGACTTACTGTAATTAGTTTAGGTGGGTTTGATTAACTGTTCTGTTTAAACTGTGTCTGTCTGAAAGGTGAAACAGCTTACCCGTGACTGGAGAACCACGGCATACGCGCTGAAGTACTCGGACACTCTGGAGCTCAATGAGGATAACAGAAAGGTTAGAAGAAATACTCCAGTTCCAGTGTTTCCAAGTGAAAGCCACCCTACCAAGATGTTACTGGTGTATGATATCCACTTGTTTTCTGAGCTGCAGGCTCTCAACAAAGAACAAGAAAATGGGTGTATGCAAGAAAAGGTAATGGAGCATCTCCTCAAAGCCTTTGTAACTTTTGGTGTAATTACATCCGTTCGTATTCTCAAGCCTGGTAGGGATCTACCACCTGATGTCAAGAGGCTCAGCAATCGGTACAACCAAGTAGGAACACAGGAATGTGCAATTATAGAATTTGAAGAAGTAGATGCTGCCATACGTGCTCATGACTTCATGTGTGCTGAAAATAAAGAGACTGGCATGAAAGTTGTCCCAATAGGCATGAAGCCTCCAAAGAAGAAAGTTCCCAAAGACAAGAACCGTTACGAAGATTCCACCAAGAGTCTTAACAAGGGTAGATCCCTTAATAAGAGAGTGGAGGAGCTTCAGTTTGTTGGTGATGAGTCTTCAGCAAATAGCTCTTCTGACCCAGAGAGTAATCCTACATCACCACTGTCGGGACGCAAAAGTACTGCAACAAGTACTACAAATAAATTAAGCCCTATTATTCACCCAAACAACCATTTGAGTCCTAATGTGTCACCCAGATCAAGTCCTTGGAATAGTCCGTCTTCACTAAGAAAAGTGACCAAAAAGTCTCCGCTTGCTGAAGACAACAAACTTAACCCAAACACTAGCCCTGAAGTTCCAAGGAGATGCACAGATTATTCTTCAGACAGCAGCATCACTCCTTCTAGTAGCCCATGGGTACAGAGAAGACGACAAGGTCAAACTGTAACACAAGAGAAGAGTCCAGTCAGCAGCCCCATGCTAGCTCGCAAAATACAAAATGCAGATGGTCTACCTGTAGGGGTGCTGCGGCTACCTAAAGGGCCTGATGGCACTAAAGGATTCCATAGTGGATGTGAAAGAAGGAGAGCTATGAAGAATGAATAAATCATTCTTTAAAAACAATTTAGGAGTCAGCCAACTGCTTTCTTCAAGCCTGGTGAAAGACTGTCAACCGAGTGACTGAATTATGTCAATATTTAATGTTTAAAGATTTTGTATTCAGGTAGACACTTTATCATTTGTATATTGGTGTATTCACTTATCTGCATTCTTTTTAATGTATTAGTTTGAAATGCCTAAACATTGAAACAGGCATCTAAAACCATTCTTGCAACTATATCATTTGCAAAGCTCTGACCCTGAAGAGTAGTGTGTAGACACTTACTGTTTAGCAGTTATATTTTGATAGCTGTGCTATGTTGCCAGTCTAATCTTAAGGAATAGAGGTTTTGAAGGCTTTCTGTTTTTTTCTCAAAAGGAACTGAGAAACTTATGTAACATTGAGCAGTTGCTCTCACCTTGCATTTATCTCCAAAGAAACTAGCTATGGTTTACAGGACCAAAGCGTATATTTTTCTGTGGTATGAATGAGGATGCTGAGCATTGAAGATTGTTCTGTAAGTTTTAACTTATAATCACATGGAAATAAACTAGAACATTAACTCAGTCTAAATCCATTTCCTTTAAAGAAAAAGCTGTACCTGAACAGACACCTAGACCAGATCTATACCATATAAAATTCTAACAGTTACTCAATTTACAGTGCCTTCAGTAAGAAGAATAGATTGAAATGTGCTCTGCCCCACTATGGATTGTTACTGCAGTGGTCACTCAAGATCTTATCGATTATATGGCAGAGCCATTTTCATACAATATTGTAAACAAAACAATAGTAATCTCACATTAGCTCCAAATTTAACAAGAAGGCTCAGTAACAAATGCTTAAATTAAAATTACTATTAACTTATCTAAAGCCAAAGGTACCTTTGCAGTTTTATTTAGAAAATTATACTCCTGAAAAACAGCCCAGCTACTTATTTACAACTTGAACCAAACAAGACACAATTCTGATTAGATTCCTCTTCATTACAGAACTTCTCTACATCCTTTCCAACTTTCATTTCTGTTTTAAGTTTGCTCTTCTGCAGTGGAAATAATTGCAGTAATACACGGTTAGCAACCACCGTACTGCTGTGCACAAAAAGCTATCAGTCCTGAGGTATCGGCCCCTTGCCAGCCAGAAAGATTCCTGACGCTTATTCCGTACTTTACACAAAGGAAATCCACCAAGTTACCTCCTGATTTCCACTACTGGTAGAGACACCACAAATACAGATACTGTTAAATTCAAACTTTTTATCAACAGCAGATCTGCAACTATCTAGGTGACAGCTAACGAAAACAGTCTTCAGAAAAGTGATTCCATAACTCCAGACTACATACAACGGCACCGTCTCAGTAGGTATCCAAACCATTTCCTTTTTTCTTCTTTATGAGGAATACTGTTGTCTCATAGCAGTCAGGGGATTTTTTTTAATTATGAAGTTATATAGCATCCACATATCATAATGTACCCGTTTGGGAACAGTAGTACAATGGATACAATACAATAGTTTGAAGACAAAAGGAAGTCAGTTAAATGGTAACACAGAAAGCTATACGTAATAGTCCATGTTAAAAATCTCTAAGGCACTGTACATATATAGGGGGAAAAAAAAAAAAAGCAACATTTACCAGGGCTGTGCTCTTTGAATGAACACGTCCACATGTTACATTTAACATGCGGATCTTAACAATCACATTTGCTTCTGTGTAACACTGACAATTTTAAACTAAAAATCTCAGGCATTACTTATGAGTCTATTTGGCTATAGAAAGAAACACCAAACATGAAGTCATAAACAGCTTCTGTGTTAGTATATTCATATTCAGTACTCCTTTGAAAAGCTTTAGAAGCGCTTTGCATGCTTAATAGCAACGTAAAATACTCTAGGCATGAAATACCTTCTCTCTGGCTACTTTTTACGCTAGCTAGCACACATTAGGGGCTTTTCTGTATTCTTACTTCAGATTTTAGACATGACACCTTAGTTGTATATCCACAGAATTTGGCATAGACTTGTAATTTGATACAGACCAAGGAGGATTCAGATCTGGGCTGTTAAGGTTCAGCAGAGATGCCTAAGATGAAAGTAGAGGCAACATTTGGTTCTTGCAGTACCTAGGACTCCATATACTCCGTTATTCTGGAGAAAGATCTTAATCTGATGTCTGGTTTGGCAGAGGTATGATCTGTGCATAACCAAAAACTCATGATTAAACAGGAAATTTTCAATTAATGATCCCACAGTTTGATCCGGGAAAGATTCCGGAGACTATGTTTCACCTTTATTAGAGATAGGGCTTTTAATAATCTCAGTTATAAATTTCATATAGCAACTAAGTGTTCTTTACTTCAACTACAAAAATGTAGGTGAAAAATGTTTTGTTTATGGCTTGAATTCATTTTATGTTTTATAGCATTAATGTGGAATTCTTCAAATAAATGCCAATGCTAGTCTGCAAATAGTTTATAACAGGATCATTTCAACAACGTGAATGTACATTATTGTGAGGCTAAGTCAGTTCAGAAGCAAAGCAAAAAAAAAGGAAAGACTGAACTCATTTGATGAACATTTGCGAATTAGAATATTGAATAAGCAGAGGAAAGCAAAAAGCACAAAATAAACATGCACTGATTTTATAAATTAGGAAAAGACCACATTTGTAATTGCAGTATTTTCACTGTCTTGGAGTTAGGATAAATTGACACAAATTCATCTTTCCCTTTGCAAAAGCACTCTTGTGCCTTGGTGCACGTTTTAAAAAAAAAAAAAAAAAAACAAAACCAAACCCGAAAGTTAGCGCTGTTAGTCATCACCAATCACCCAATCAGGTCATTAGCACTCCTCTGTGCCTCTTTCCCACGGCACCTTGTCAACAGGACTGACACTTCTTTCTCCTAATGTGTGCGCCCATGCTGCTGCTTTACACATCACAGGCATCACCCCGAGTACATTGTGAAGTCACTACTTTAAATCAGTTACACTGAAAACAACTAAAACCCATCCTCAGTTCAATCGCATCAGATGTGTCCCGGACAACATTTCATCATTAAAGATATTTGGTTGTAATTGCTTTACCGTAAGTTTACCTTTTGAAAACGCGTATTAGAATCATGTGCATTCCAGATGCACTTTTTATGTGAAAAAGTAAAAAGTCTGAGATGATGCAAGTGTAAAGTTTCTATTTTACTGAAACAATTCAGCTTTTTGCATCAGTGTTTTATTATTTTATCATTCTATTTGTCCTTGTTTTCAGAGGCCAACCTCAGTTACTATAGGACAGGTATTTCTGAAACACAGAATGAACAGATCAAAGGTGTTTGTAATTAATCAAGTAAGTCTGCTTTTTACTTATAAGCAAAAATATTTGTTATTGTTTTATGAGGTGATGGTTTGGTCCCAATTCTCTGAGATGACCAGTGCGAAACAAACGAGGGTCTTCCCCTGCTCATGTGTTCTAGGAGCGGAGGAGCTCTTTGCTCGGCCAAAATGGGACAAGTACAATGAATGTCAAAGTCCAAGACATAACATGTGCTACCACATCAGGTAAAGTTTAATCATACTACACAGATTTCAACAGGTAAATAATCACACATTTTGTTTAAAGTTATTTCCATTAGAAAGTGGGTCTTGTTTAATGCATAGCAAGTTAGTTATTTTTGTAAAAACAAAATACAATAAGATTAAAATAAAGTATTTCTATGACATATTTAAGTCATTCAGTGAAAAAACTCCTTTGTATATTAAGAATTACAACACTAATAATTTAGGAGAATCAGAAATTTAAATTGATGTCAACCTATTTAAGAAGTCAAAACTGCGGAAAGCTGAAAAAATAGCCAGCTCAGCTACACCCCAAAATTTCCTATTCACCTGTCTAAAACGCCTCCCTGTTGCTCATGCTGATGTGTCAACACAGCTGCAGTCTTAAATAGAAAACAGTTATGCCTTTTTTCAACATATTACTTATACTAAGTATATTTAATTAACATAAACTAAAAATCTTAAAAGATTCAGCTGAATAAAATGGAAACAAGCCTCAACTTTAAGTGAATCTTTAAGACAATTACCAATATGCATCACAGCACACATGTATGAAATAGAATGATAATTCTCAATCTGTCATGTCTACAAAATATCGTCTTACTAAAGAAAGTAAAATTTGTTGTTACATTGTCGCCACATCTCCTGAAAAATCTCAGTGGAGATTATTTGAAATTTACTTTGCTGTATCCGTAGTTGGTATCCTATTTTGAACAGCTTACTATATAATTTCTCCATGAAGAGAAGTTACAGCTTCATCAAAACAGAGGCTAGATTTTTAAGTACATCATGACAAAATCTTCTTGCCTCTCCTTCGCATTCCTTAAATCAACACTACCAGACTTGAAATATTTCAAGAAAATATTTTAGATCCAGTTCCCAAGCTCTGTATGCATGAAGATTACATTACAGTCATGCGTACAGGTTACAGAATTTGCACTTACCAAAAATTAAGGGTGTTCACTGCAAAGACATTTTCCTTTTTCAGCAAACAGTCTTGTACTGGACAGAAAACAGCTCAGCTATATCAAGGTCATAGACAGCATCAAGCCCTGGAGAACAGCTGGAAAACCTTTTGGTAAGAATCATTTGCTGTGTTATCCTACAGTTCTGCCTGCACGTACTTTAAAAGACTTTCGTGCAAGTGAAGCAGGATGTGACCACAACAGGGTGAGGATAACATTTTCAAAAGGTTAAGTTTCATTGATGGACTTGGCTCCTCCATCACTTAGCTGCTTTAGAAGATTTGTCCTCCTTATAAAACTGTCCTAAGAGCTTTCCAGATAGGTCATTTTGCTACCATCAAAATTTATTTTAGCACGTTATACAGCTATGAAGGATACCGTATCATTGCAATATAAACAGATAAAATTACTGTGAGTGAAATACACTACCCAGCTTTTTAGAGTAGAAGACTAAGTAACCCTTTTGATCCAGCTTTCCAGCGATTAACTGTATCACAAGCCTGTCAGTGTTTCATAAACTTTAGCCAAGCTTCCTAAGCATGCCGCGCTTAAGCTTAAAAATAAAAACAAGCAAGAGCAGTTCACATCCCAGCAGAAGGAGCAACTTCTAGAAGATATACCTCACAAATACTATTGCTATCCATTTTGGAAATAGAGATGGATTAATAAATTACATATTGAAATTAACTTTAGAACAAAACTCCATCAGATTTATGTCCCCAAATTTAAATTTCACTGGTTACAGGCGGTGCAAATTGTGCATTACTGCATTAGTTAAATTGTGTAGGTGGAAGTATTATAAGCGGGTTATTATTCAGGATATTCAGGATAAAGAGACTCATAATCATTTCGTGAACAATTTTAAGCTAAGTATGTCCGTGTTTTCTTACAAATGTTAAGAATTAAAAGCGTGCATTTACCATTTGCTTGCCTTTTTATTTCCCTTTGTACATAGAAAACACAAGAATTCCAGCCACTAATGTAAGATATGTTTAGAACATGATTTCTTGGATTCCCCATTTTAGTTAAGACAGCTGAACGTACTAGAATTCAATAGTAAATACACTATGAGCTTGCAGTTACTCAAAACTCACACTTCTATAGCCTAACTACAAGAGGGACTGAGGAGGGTTGAACTAAAGGTCTTGAAGATTCTTCATACAGCTACACTTGCAAAAATTAAAATGGCCTAACAGTTATGATGCAATGGTGGTTGATACCCAATTTATGTCTTTTGCAGTGTGTGACCGATTTACTCTCTGGGCAAGTTAGAGAAGTGGACAGAAGAAAAACGAAACCTTGCTGAACAACCACAACTCCTGCTTTCTTCATGTTCCACTAGTCTGCGGCTACATATTATGGACACCTGGCTAAATTTCACTGGCAGATCAAAAATTAAGTTACATACGGAAAAGACATCTCAGTCAGTCCAAGCACAAAAGTATTGATCTGTAATTCTTACAAGATACTCCAAAGAGTTAACTGTCAAAACACTTAAAATAGGAAGAGTACAATTAAGATGGAGTTAGGAGCACAGTAATTAGATTGACAGTACACAGTTCTATCATTTCTTTGGAGCTGGAGACCTATTACAGCCCATTTGTAACGTTAGCTATAATATCTCGTATTAACAGCTGCACCCTTCAACTTTTCTGTGACTCCAGAGCTCTGCAGGCTGGAGGAAGCCAGAGTTGAATGTGACAGCTGGTTCTTGCTCTTTTTTTTTTTACACATACATAAGCAATCACCTGAAAGTGGGCAAAATAAACAACTAAAAGCTTACCTGGCACATCAGAGAACGAGCTCCTGGCCACAGACGAGGTGCGCTGCTCAGCCCAGACAGCTGGTTCCCTAAGGAGCTGACAGCAAAGCTATGCATATTTCCTCCAGCTGCTGCAGAAGGTCATGTTATTCATTAACCTGCCTGAGAGCTTAGCACACGAGAAACATGCGTTCTTAGCAGAAAAACTATCCTTCGCCGAGACATTAAATTCGGTAAGTTGACAGAGAGTGATCCACTGTACACAACCAAATTACATGGCATTTAAATGAATTGATTTAAATTCTCAGTGTCTACATATTAATACGCTAAAATAGTGAGTTACGTTTTTACTAGATTACTGTATTTTTCCTGTATTTTCTTCAGATCCTTTAAAAGGAAAAGCAGTGCGTTCAGATACTTTCACAAGAAAAAGTAGTGTTCAACTGAAATACTGAAAACCAGTTATAAAAACGTTTACTAGTTAAAGCTATGTTAAATATCTCTGAGAAAAAGTTATCTAAACGTTCTCGTTGCACTTAAAACCAGATTATTTATTAAGCAAGGCAAACGTTATCCATACTTAGTGAACAGAATTCTGTCATTTAAGACACAAATGCGGCAGATCTGTTTCTCGAGCACAACACAATTAACCCAGCGGAGGAATTTTTTAACCTTCCAGGCAACTTCTCAACTGTTATGGAAGGCAACTGAAAAAAAAAAAATCACAGGAAGAAGAAGAAATTACTTCTGCAATTGCTGAACTGTCATAAGCTAACTCATTGTTTTAACACATTCTAATTGCATGTGTGATTGGCCAGTGACTTCTTCCAATTTAGTAATTAATTCAGACTTCAGGACTTCAAATAAATTACTACTACATTAATCTTTATCCAAATAATCTAAAGGTATGGATATGTAAATGGATATTGATAATCATTTAACTGTTTTAAATTCAAAAATAAATTTCTATTCAAGCTAATACTCCAGGCTTTATCATCAGGGATATTCTTCAGCTGGCTCAGCCATACTATCTAGTTGTCCTGAGATACAAGCAGCAGCAATGCTATAATTGGACAAGCTGAGTTTGGACACATCACAAATATTTGAAGACGCTGTATTAGCCACCCAAGGCTTCTGCAAAATGGCCCCTTCTCACTAAGAAGCTTATGGCAAGATTAGACAGAGCTGAGGGTGAATTCTGTCAGGGAACGCACAACCCTTATTCCTAATCTCTTCAGTTAAAATCAACAATCCCGAAAATGTCATTAAGAATTACATTTGGCAACAGACCAGTCATCCTCTCATTCAAATAGACTGGTTTTCTGCCTTCAGAACAAGCACTCAATGCTTTCTGGTTTTGCTGGAACTGCAAAAAACAGGACTGGAAAAAACTGGAACTGCAAAAAACAGGACTGCCACGTTATACTTCAACCCTCTCAAATTCAGAAATGACTTCCTGAAGTAACAGGAAGTTACTAATAAAAGTTTCTAATGATGGCTGAGCTTTCCCTAAAACAACAGGCTCTTGGGGGAAACAGGTGGTGGTGGTCCTCCACAGTAGCAGATCAAACCATATATACACGCATCCTAAGCACCTTTCACTGCCTGAACTAAGGAGCTCCCTCTGCTGTCAGAAAAAAAACGCTACTGCTCAGAAGAAACCACGTATGCCTCCCTCTCAAAACTGACAGTTACTTAACAAATTTTGAGGTCGTATATGCTTCTCTCCAATAAACACCAAACACACACACACACACAAAAGAAGTATTGGTTTCAAAAGCATGCAGGTTCAAGTTATTTTTATTGCTTTTTAAAAGAAACAAATGAGAAATTCTAAAAAGCATTTTAAGAATACACCCTTTCCTCAACACAAATCACAATCTGCTAGGTGTTTAAGATTCTTAACTTTATATAGTATAAATATAGTATGGAGGCACTACAAGATACTATGAATACTGAGTGCATTGATAGGTACCACCACACACACTAAACAACCCACAGCAGGGTTCAATCATACATATACATCAATAGAAACAGACACAATATTTAATTCCCTTGAGACAAATATTTCATTCTCCCTGAGGCTGTCTCTGTCTTCATGTTCACTCAACTGCTCAAAACTTGTTTAAAAACAAACAAACCAAAATAAAACACACTCACACACACACACCCAAATATCCAAACTGCTTGGTATACTGTTGCCAACAGATACTTTTTTTATGCCCCAAATTGTGCCTTTATTTTGTTCCGATTCTGAACTGTGTGTGGTATGATGACATATTCCAACAGAGTAATTTTTAAAAAATAGCAACATATCAACTGCAGAGAAGCTACATGATGACACATCTAGAATTTTAATCACTGAAAGCCCTTCCACACAAAGCGTGAAAGGACTTTTGCGTCTATCCTCAGTAATGAAGGATGCGTTCCTACCATCTTGATTTTGCATGGGCTCAGCTTCAGGACTGGATTTATAAACCTGAGGTCTGAAAAAGGCCAAAACCAGGTACTTCAGTAAAAAACGCTTATTAACTAAGCTAACACATCCAAGACATTTAGAACAACAGTTTGATTACTCAAACAGAGTTGGCTTCAGTTTACTCCACTGTTCCCTTAGCTTTGATTTTACTACACTTGAAGCAAAGATATAGTCGATGGATTCATAGGAAAGATCCCACATCTGTGATCGAGTCAGATTAAATGTTTTTGCAACCAGTTCGTATTCCTGAGATAGATCTGTTGCAAAGACGCCTTTATCATCAGTCTAGAGTTAAATTGAAAGAAAAAGAAGTTTAAATTAGATCAGATATATATCAGAACTGACATTTTTACATAGTGCAAATCAGTTTTCTGTTACTGTATCTCACATTTGACTTCATACTCCATTTGCCTCATTTTCCTCAAAATTAATATATTGTTCAAACATACGAAAAAACTTATTAAAGTGATAACACAATTTGTCAAAAAATAGGATTTTCTGTAAAAATAGGAAGTGACTATTTTAAGCCATCTTCTGCCCATGGAGTACCTGAGCAAACTCTTTCATGAGATCACTACCTGCTTTTTCCTCTTCAGAAACCTCTTCCATAACTTTAGAGTTTATAATAAACAGTAGCTAGAACGACGGCCTGTTGGGCCCATCAAACAATGCATACATGTAAGCTATGTCAGAGCGTATCTCCTTATTCTCCTTTCCTCAAATTTGGGACCTGGAACATACTCTGTATTCCTGCATCTTCAGGGAAGAAACTGTTTCACCATCTGCATTTATACAGAGACAACTAGAACCATGTCTTGATACTGACTGAAGTACTTAAATACATCTGACAGAAACCTAGAGATTTTTCATCTACAATGATCAAATCAGGATTAAGGGTTAATGAGATTTCTCATCTGCAATTCAGAGCTCTCCTGTCCCCGAACAGAGAAGAGAGCCGGCTATATCTCTATCTTGTTTAACTTAAGACACAGTAGTATCTCTCTCCCCCCTACTGTTCTTGTTTTCATAGGTCTTTATCAGTAAACTGTTTTCTCATATGACTTTACTGTTTATCTGGGCTTTTCACACTTTAAAATATCTCAGAAATAGCATCTAATCATGGATTATTTTTCACCAGACAAATATCACAGACTTCAAAAGCTCAGTAATAAGTACAATAAAGACTGACACTTATTTTAATAATAGTATGACAACTCTATGCAACTGTAATACACAAATATGCCTGGACAATGCTAAAAATTGTATGGGTTAAATTAACAGGATGGTAGGGTATAAAAACCTGCAAATGTCAGCAGAAGTACTTGGCATCTCAAAGTTTTGGGACCTTATTTAGCTGTCAAGAACTTCATTCAACACAATCAAAATTCTAGTAAATACAAGTTTAAAAGCAAAAACCGGACCAATATGTTTAAGCAAAATCTGTCCATATGCAAACAGTTAAAAAGTTCACTGCATATATATTTTCCATATAAATAGGATAATCAACTATGCCTTGCTTTTACAATAAAAGCAAGATAAACATTAAGAATTTGCATTTGTACCACAACTATTTCTCAAAACAGAACATTATGATTTGCTATAAACAGACGGTTTGCTCTAAGGACAGAAATCATAAATAAAGTCAGCTCTGATCCATCTAAGGAGATATACTTCTCCAATTTCACACTAGTTCTGGTTCTAGGGTCATTGTCTGAATACATGTTTAAAATCAAAATTCTTACACAAAGCACTGCAGGGTGACCTATGTTGTACCAGTATCCAAAATGGTGTTTGTCACAGGAAGGCACTGTCTGAGTTTTGATGTTTGATGTCATGCACAATTCTAGGGGAAAAATGAAGAAACAAGGATATATATCAAAATGACATGTTTTTGACACATTAATGGATTTATTTCTGTCCCTGAATGAAAATTCCACTCAACTATTGTTGTTTCTTTAATTTTCAGCGTTTCCAGTATTTGTTGAATGTTCTGAGGAAAGTTCACTAGTCAATTCCTTCTCATCTACCCTCTGCGTGCAGAATTTAGGGAGCTTGCAGACCAGACCCACAAACACCAAACAGCCTTGCACAGTAACTGAAAGTTATGCTTTGGTTTTGTTTTCATCTGAGCTATCAATTGTTGGCTACTGCCACAAATATGACACCGGACAGAACAAGGCCGCAATATCAATGCTTCTCTCTGTCCTTTTGCTTTATTTGTTGATTCAATACCAATAACCAGCGTTAAGATGAACGAAGAATCATAATTAACACAAGCGCATATTAGAAAATGCACGCGAAGTGAGGGGTAGGTTCATAAAATATCTAATAAAGCCTACCTAGGGGAATTTAAAAACCATCTAAAAGTACTCTCTGATCAAATTTATCTTACATGAAAAAACAGACGTGTCAGCAGTACACCTTTATCAGTAATCTTCTCGCATACCTTTCCAAGTTAATAACTTTCTAAGTCCGCTCTGGTCAAAGACAAATCTTTTAGGGTTACTAGATCAGTAGTAAGTATGATGTTCTCAAGTCTAGAGATTACCAAGTAATTTTCTGGTCGTATTTTTCTTACCAATAGGTATATGATTCTGTCTAACAAGTGGCACTAATTCTTCTGAACCTACTGTTGCAGAGTTGAGAAATGTTCCATGTCCAATTCTGTCAGGAGGCAGGCCAAGAAGAATTTTGGTCTCCTCTTCTTGGTTTGGAATCTAGAGAGGATATTTCACATTCTGTCACGGCAGCACAAAATAGCACAGCAACAAACTACATCTGAGTTCAAGTTCTACTATCATACCACGCTCTATAAAAAAAAAAAAAGTGTTAATGAGACTAAAATCTGCATTACTGCCCTCTACAGAGAGTAGTGGTGCATGAAAGTGACTCAAGATGGAATTACAAGACACAAAGAAGTCATCCTAACCATGTATGTAAAAACAAGCAACAGGTATTTGCAGTTCCAAAGTACTTTTAATTGAAGGCTGTCAAATCAGCTTCAGCCTAAATTGCAGAGCAGAATAAAGAAAACTTTTACCTCTGAAAGATGCAATGCCAGCTTAAGGCCTGCCTTTTTTGCTTCTGAGAGGGGTTCCAAAAAATCTTGACCATGTCCTGCCTTGAAGACAGAAATACTTCATTTTTCTATAGCTTATTTTTATGAAATTCCTCCAATTATATGACTGTTAAGAGGTCTAGCAATATCAAAATACTTAATTCAAATACAATTAAATTTTAACCATTTTTCCTTTTTCCAATACTTCACTTTTGAATGCAGTGAGTCAGCTGATGTTCTGTTATATGGGCACAATTTAGTCAAACCAGCCAAAAGTCAGTAGTTCAGGTGAAGCCCAACACTGACTTAAGCCTTAAGTAAAGACTTAAGTCAAGACTTAAGCCAATTAAGTCTTGATTTTGATACCAATTTCACAGTTATCACCTAAAGCTAAATAGAATTCACTTCAGTTTGACAGCTATCCTACAACATTTCTCCTTGCTTAATAACCAAAGAGTACTTAGAATTTCGAAACAAAATTTAAACTGGTGTCAACTTTCAATATTAAGTTACCTCAATCCCATCAATCTGACGGGGACAATTTAGTAACAGACACTTCCCACATAAACACCGCTTTTCTGCGGCTCTCTTTTGAGTATCATGTGATAAGCAATCATGTAATAACCGGTTAGAGTTATCCGCCCCCTGCAGCAACAGGGATAATCCTGGTAGCAAGAACATGAGCAATCCATTCAAACTACCAACAGGACAAAAACACTTAAAAGAATAAAGCATGCCTAGATCTACTTGCTGTTAAACAACAGAGTACTTACCTTCAAGGACAGATCAAAACAAAATAAAAACTTACGGTGGGATCACCACTGAGGTCAAGTCCTACTACCACCCCATCAGTGGAAAGAAGGAACTCTTCAGCAAGTTTAACAGTCTGCTTAGCAACTGCAGGGCCACCTCTTCTATTTATTGCTATTAATAATCTAGGAGATAAATGTACTTATTAACTAAAAACTGTAATAACAGGAGACCAACTAATCTGCTACCAACAAAAATGACACTTCCTTCACGGCTGAGTAGAGAGAGTATTTCTACAGGCAATTGTTCAAGTAACGGAGGTACTGAAGTGCAGAGGGACAACAATTACAATACCATATGCTGCAGCTGTCATCGGGGATTATTAGTACCTTTTGCACCATAAAAGTTTGCTCTGGTACTAGAGCTATTTTCACAATACCTTCCTTGCTGTTTATAACACTGGAACAACCGGAGTTATCCTGCCACCAATTTCAGCTTACGTTAATACGTTAGCCTGTGAAATGCAGTAGCTTCAGTGGTGGGAGGGCAGGGAAGGCTACCCTGCCTATTTGCTGCCTGCACTATCAGGGAGCAGGCTCTGCCAGCGGCAGGCATGAAGGATGGGAACTCTTCAACTTCCACAGGTAAACGTGACAGGGGTCGCTACCGACAGCATAAAAGACAGAAACAGTCTCACTGTCTCCAAGCAACAACAGACACCTGAAACCCTCTGCTAATTGGAACTGCCTCTCATTTAGGGCGGGTTGCTTGTACAGCTAATCCAGTAAAAATCTTAGCAATGAACCTAGGCCCTGACAGAGGGGTCTTGAATGCAGTATCCTCCAAAAACCACTGCTTTTCCTGAAACGGTTGCAGAGAATGCACAATCTTAGAGCTGAAAAGTTTCACACAGTTTCATTCTCTGTCTGAAAAAAGGAAGATAAAAGTTTGGGTTTCCACATGAATTATCTGATTTATACAGAGGAATTGTACAAAAGCAATGGTCAAAACGTAGGTAAACGAAACAACAAAAAAATAAAAATCACTAAGCTCCCTCTGGTATATGCATCATTTTTTTTCCCACACTGATGGTTTGTACACCTCTCTGCAAACCATGACTGAACATCAGATTCAACAAAATCTTGAAACAGAGGCACTGTGTGCTTTATTTACCTTACATCTATATCCAAGCCTTCTTCTTTACACTGCTTTATACCTTCAAGTACAGTCTCAACATACATCCTTTTGGTCATACCTACAAAACACATGTACTCCTTTTGAACCAAAACATTTGAACTAATGTCATTAAGTCATGTTGCATTAAGATCCAGCTCTCTAGTCTCACAGTTTCTTTCTGCACCCTTGATTTTGCTCCATGGTTTTCTAATTTGCATAGTTCTGATTCTATTTAAAAATATACAGATTTATTTTCAAGCATACATTTGGATTAGGTGTCCTCCTGAGTATCTGGAAGAAAGAAAATAATTTTGTATGAACCAGAGACTAGCAACAGCTACTTCTCTGATGCATTTATATTAAACCATGTGTAAAGGAAAATAAAAAATGAAGTAACTATAAGAGAATACATTAGCTATTATAAGAAACAGTCAGACATCCTGCTAAAGTGAATGGCCCAAATTCATGCATAATGGAGTCAAAATAATGCACATTTGTCCCCCAAGATCTAATAGTAAAGTAACATAGTTTCATACCACTGTTACTTTCATACCACTGCTTTTATATTTAAAGCATATTTTTACTGAACCAACTGAATTTGACTTAGTATTACTAACACAATGTTAAGTAAAGTTTTATAGTACAGACCGTAATTAAAAACTAGAACACACTGCACCTGTGGCTTTTTCTTCTCTAGGAGTGCTCCTCAGTTCCAGATACTTGACACCATCATCAGCAAATTCTTTAATAACATCTTTAGTTATCTGATTAAAAAACAGCATGTTCAATATGATGAAAGTAATGCTTATAATTGGTTACATTCTCTTTTGCAACTCAAAAAAAAAAAAAAAAACAGGTGACCTGTTTGTGTGAAACACTTGCATAATTTTTAGGCCCCATGTGTTTCCATCACTCTCCACCTCTGGAAATACTACTCACAGAGGGTAACGTCAGTTCCCTCAGCAGTACTAGAGGAAATTAGGACAAATGCAAATTTCTGTGCCTGAAATAGAATACCCCACAGCTGGCATAGTCACAGCCCCTTTCACAGCTATCTACTGTTCTGGAAGTTGAACAGGCTGCTTAGAAGACCATTTACGGACAGAAAGATGAGGATGCTACACCACTTTTTTGGCCCTATTTTCATCACACACACACACACACACACACACACACACACACAAAAAGGCAAGTGATTAAGCAATCCTAGTTCAGTAGTCTCGGCATATACTGAGCCAGTGAAGAACCAGGACGCTACTACAAATCAAAGCTTTGATAACTATGAATAGACATTTTAAAGTCATTAGCAGTCCAAGCATCTAAGAGCTCAGAATGACCACCATACTGGAAGCTCACTTCTTCAAAAAAGTTAAATGGAGGAATTTTATATAATTCTGTATTTCTAAATTTTCATGTTTTACAATAATAATTTTTATCTCCAACTGAAGAGACCCTTATTGATATCGTTGTTACTCAGAACCCAATGTGGTTAAATCAACTAATTTTGTCTTTATATAACGCTAGCCTTGTTTTCAAAAAGGAAAGGGAGATGCTTTTGTGCGTTTGTTTACTTGTTTCAAGCTAAGTTTTGATGAACTTACCAGTAAAATATCTTCAGTCCTAGTGGTAATCTGATAGATGATCTGAAACATCTGAAAACATCTAAACAAAACAGTAAAAAATTAATTGGATGAAAGTTGACTGATAAAAGGAGTACTCCAAAAAAATAAAGTCTATACCTGGAAAACATGTATTCACTATACTCAATCAATCAGCTTGTCTGTAGCTTAAAACACACGTCAACTTATAGGACAAGCAAGACCCTCTTAATAGCCACTTTTGATTTTAGGTTCCAACAATTCATTTGCAACAGAAATTATTATTACATTTACCATAAAGCTTTTTAAGCCCAAAGGAAAACATGAAGTTTCCAAACGAGGAAACCATACGAGTCATTTTCTCTAAAGAGCCCATGGTATAAGTGAAACTTTTCAGTTCTCTAAAAAGGAAATTAAATTTAGTCCGGATGAGATTTCCATTTAACTTGCACACATCTAAGAAGTGACTTTACGGATACAAGAAGCAACAAATCTACAAGATCATAGCGTTAATTAAAACTTCAGCAGTCAGAGTACAGGACAACATACTTCTCTGTTTTGAACCTAGTCAAAAGAAGCTTGGTAGGTGTTCATTACACACATACAGATGTGCACTCACTCATCCAAAGTTCGCTTATTGCCTTTGTCAATCACAGTCATTCCGTTCTGGATCTGAAGGTACGGTTTCTGGGTCATAAGTTTCTTCATAGTGGCAGAACTGATGCAGCCATTCAAATGAGCATGAAGTTCCTAAAACAGAAAGCCATAGGATTTTCTTCCCATCAGTATAAAGAACAGCTTTTACATCTTGTTTGTATAATGGTTCTTGCATCCTACATTACTGTTTCACTATAAGTAAATAAGAATTATCTCTGTTTGGCTAATAACGATCGTTTCCTCATGCTTTTACATACACTGACACAGCTGAGGGTGTCCCGTCTGTATCTTCCCCAGAGCGCCGCCATTGGCACAGATCTCAGTGGGAGCACAGCGGGCTCAGGAGAGAGGGCTCGTTAGAGTGGTGCAATTCAGGGTGAGGAGGAATGAGGGGACCAGATATTTTAGTAATTTTACTAAAATATATTTTATATATTATATTCAGTATTAAGAAAAAAATACCTGGGATTCAAGAACTCTTTCCTCATCAGCTCTAAGTTAAATTTACGCATGCATAATTTCACAGTTCTACGTTGTTCAAAAAGTATCATTTTTATACCTCCTCACCTTTCTTTTCTTCATACCGTGAAAAGTTAACTCATGCCACAGCAATGCAGCAAGATGCCATCTCTGCCCGCTAACAGAGACCCGACTGAGCAACAGCCCTCTGCTGTCCGAGGCTGATTCCTGCCAGGCTCCCTTGGCCACCAAGCTGTCACCACCATCCTTGTCTGAGCTCCTCTCTTCAACCCCGGCTCCCTCCTGTGCCCGCGCAGCTCCTGACGGAGGAAACAGTCCCCGGTGCCCTGCCATGCCGCGTACCTCCTCACCCCCGGGACCCTTCCCTCTTAATTAGGAAAGGCGAAAAAAAAAAAAAGTGAAGTATTTCTTAAAGCCTTTGATCGGAAAAGCCGTTGAAGATTTAACTCCGTAGATTTAATTTTAACCGTGTAAAACATTGCATGTCATATTCCTATTTTAAAATAGGAAACGTAGAAGCAAAGGGAAAGGGAGCAGGTCATCTCGGAGAGCGAAGGGGCACAGCTCCAAGGCGGCAACCGCCACCCCCCCAGCCC